CTCTCCTGTGCATTATTAGGAAGGAAAATGAGGGGAGAGGCTGTCCTATGTCCATTTTGCTCATCCCTTTGTTTTCTCTGTTTTCAGATACCATGCTGCCAAAGACACAGCTCCTGGTAGAACAGATTTGGCACCTGGCAGACCAGGTATGTTTAAGGACCCAGCAGCTGTTGGGGCAGGTAGTATGTGTGTGTTCTTTCTCCTGTATCTCACTCCAACATTGTCTCACCCCCTTTCCTCCTTAACTCAGAGTCTTTCTAAGTCTCCCCTAGATTTAGGGGTACAATTTCTAAAGCACCTCCAATCCCCTGAAGAGGCCTGAGCAGCCACCTGGCTCCTCTTGTGCCAACGAAGAGTGTTTAAGCCCCAAACATAAAATCTGAAAAAGATGGGAATTATATCTTAAACAACTTGTAATTTCATGCCCCCTTCCTCTCTGTCTCTCTTTTAAAGATAATTACATCTTTATAAATCAGTCTCTTGCTGGCATGGTGTAGAATTGCAAAAGGAAAGAAAACATTTAAATAACTTTATTACTGATTACTTTGTGATTATGGCTATGTGCTTATTATGGAGTAAGTGGAGGCCCCCTCACCCCCCATTCATACGTTGAAGTTCTAACTCCCAAAGTGACTATATTTAGAGACAGGGCCTTAAAGGAGATAAATGAGATTAAATGAGGTCAAGAAGGTGGGGCCCTAATCTGATGGATCTGGCATCCTTATCAGAAGAAGAGATACCAGAGATTGATCTCTTTCTCTACATGTGCACAGATAATAAAGGCCATGTGAGGCTACAGCAAGGCAGCTGTCTACAAGCCAGGAAGAGAGTCCTCACCAGAAAGCCACCCTGAAGGCACCTTGAGCTTGGACTTCCAGCCTTGAGTACTGTGTGAGATGAATTTCTGTTGTTTAAGCCACCCACACTGGCTAATATAGTGGTCATTCTTTAGACACTAATGATGAAAATCTCAAAGATTAAAAAGGAAAGCAAATTAAGACTCTAAGGGCCATTGTAATTCTTCTCCTATCGCCACCTATTGCCTGGAGTGAAAATATAAGAAGGGGAAACTGCTGAGCTTGCCAGTCCTTATCATAAAGACGTATCTTGTTCTCAGAAGGGAAAGTTGGTATGTTTCAGTGAAATCTGTTTTAGAAGCTGAGAGTGGACAGAAGAAGCCGATGGGAATTTTCCCTGTCCACCAGGTGACAGACAGGGCAGCTCTCAAGTCAGTGACCGTGAAGGGTAAAAGAGGTTGGACTAAATGATCTCCTTCTTGTAAGACACAACTTCCAGGACTACATGGCCAGATAAAGGGAATAATTGGAATGTAAGCGTACAATGGATTAATATAAGAGGCCATTCGAAGTCCTTTTGTCCTAAAACCTAACTGTTCTTGAAGGCTAGCTTTGAGGGCCTTAGGGAGAGGGAGGATGCCTTGCTGGTCTGCTTCATTTTGCCGCTCTGTGACAGAGATGGGCAGGTCGATTTGGGAAGAAATGTTTGCAGTGGGCCGGGAAGCCTATATCAGAATGCTGGGTGCTTCCGTTGTTCAACTGATTCTGCAACAGAGACAGCTCCTAATAGCTGTCAGTTCAGCAGAGACACTGGCAGCAAATTGAGGGAAGGTGTGTCCGCACAGACTGCTATGTGGCAGTCAAGGCCGGGGATGGGCCCGCGGCCATGTGTTGGCTGTCATTTCAGCCTCCCTTTGCTGGAAATGTGTCTGCAGATGGAAAGGCTGCTGGGGGTGGGCCAGGTTAACACCAGGGCTCTCCAGGCCCGAGAGTCCCACCAGGGTTTGAGCCAGCGCCTTTAGAAGGGCCAGGAACCTGGTCGCTCCGAGAAGAGGAACTGACCTTTCTCCAGCCCACCTCCCCACTGCAATCCCGACTTCCGAGGGCTTTCCGGTTCCCAGGGTCCCAGGCCCACTCACTTATATCAAGTTTTCCTGACCTGAGCTTTATGAAGTCTTTTTAATTCTTCCTGCTTAACCAGTTGTTTTGTTGCTTTCTCCAACTTCCTTCTTCTTCTAAGTGTCTTCCTCTCCTATAAAAACCAACAGAGAAGAAAAAATATATGTCTGAGAGAATTTTGAATTTTATTTCATTTTAATGATTTAGATGTAAATATAAATAGCCACATGTGGCTAGTAGGTGCTGGGTTGGAAAATGTGTGTGTGTGTGTGTGTGTTTGGGAGTGGCTTTATAGAGCACTGACTTGGTTCAGTTGAAGGAAGGAATCATACAAGAATTACACTCTTTATAGGCGCTACCATAGGCCCAGGGATGATGAGTCTGGGACACACACACACTCACTCATGCACAAAGTATACTACCTGAAAACCAGTTAACAACTTCAAATAGTCCTTAGGTGGGATCTACATTGCCCAATTAAACCTGGGAATAGAGGAGCATATCTAAATGAAATGAAAAGTTTTCTTGGCTGGAGAGAGGCATAAGATTGCTTCTCTTCCCTACTTCATTTAGCTACACAAACGCATCATGAATGTCACTGGGTTCTTTGTGTGCCTGGGCTTGAAAAATACAGAACATTCAAAACTGACGCATTTTAATTAGATGTCTGGCTCGTGATGGTGCCATTTCCAGGTTTCAGACAGCAGAGGAAGGGGAAGTAGTGGTGTGGCCAGCTCCACACATGGAAAGTTCAGGAGACATTCTGGTTGGAGAAACAGCAGAGGATGATGGGGGGCCTTGGGCTGGGGAGCCTGCAGAGCTGGCATCAGTTCCTGACGAGCTGTGTGAGTGTAGCATGTCATACACTCTGCACGCCAGCATCCTCTTCAGTGATAAGAACGATTTAATACCTACTGTGTAGGGGTGTAATAAGGAATAAATGAGATAAGGCAGGTCAAGATATAGGATAGAAATTCAGTACATACTATGATTTGTTTTATTATTAACATATTATTATATTATACATTAGCATGATTATAACGTTTTACTAAAATATGATTTTTCAGCTATTATATGTGTATATGCATGTTGGAAAGAAACTTTGGTTCTGAGAACTCAAACTTATTCCTTATCATACAATCTCTATTTCTAGGGGGTAACTTCCTGATCGACTGTCAATCTCTCTGAACAGAGGTTCTGGGACATTGGGGTGGGGGAACCCCTCTTTTAGGCAGCCATGACCTTACTGGAAAGGCTGGGGAGGAATCACTGGTAATTGTTATCCAGAGACTTTCCCACTCATTCTATGCAGAGTTGGTGCATTTACTCAACAAACATCTCTTGAGCTTACAACCCACTAACCTACATAACAAATCCCACCATTGGTTGAGTGTTATGTGCCAGACACTTCACATGTGTCATCTTAATTATCCCTCAAATGAGACTTATTTTATAGATTAAAAAAATCAAAACTCAGAGACGTTAAATAACTTGCCCAAGATGACACACAATTAGTAATTGGTAGAGCCAGGAGGCAAGCCTGGGTCACCTGAGTCCAACATCCATATTTTCATATAGTCTGTTCTGCCTTTCTTGTGCCAAATACTGTGTAGGCACATCAAGGACTCCTGCTTTATAGAAATGGCAGTCTTCTTCTGAATTAAGACCATTTCATTCAATTTCAAGGAAAGAAGCTTCGGCAGCATCACACCGTCTTAGCCCTTCCCAGCAGCAGAGCTGCCAAACCCCAGGTCTTTACCAAGAATCTGCAAAGCAGAACCTAGAAGAGGAAAGGAGGTCCTTTACTGCTATTTATGAAAAGATATTGACATAGAAATGAGGATGATTCGTTAACAGCCAGGGAGTCTCACGATAAGCCAGGCACAGTTCTTACAGCCTCGGTGATGGTGATGAGGATGCAGAGAGGAAAATGAAGAGACTAAGAGCTAAAGAAGAAGAAGATAAAGGACAGAGAAAGGAGAACTCTGGCGGGACGAGGACAGCTGCCAGTCCCAGTCTCTGGGATCCAGGCATTGGTTTCAGGGCAGAGCAAAGGGAAGAGGTGGAGTGTGCATATCCTGTCTCCAGTTTCCTATGCAAAGCTTCATTTGAGCTGATGGACTCTGTGCCACACATTCGGGGACACACCTGTATGGGACAGAAGACATAAAACACCAGAGGGGGGTGCTGGCCAGGGTGGCTCAATGACTGAGTGTCGACCTATGCACCAGGAGGTCACAGTTCAATTCCTGGTCAGGGTACATGCCTGGGCTGCAGGCTCAATCCCCAGTAGGAGGATCGCAAGAGGCAGCCGAGCAATGATTCTCATCATTGATGTTTCTCTCTCTCCCTCTCCCTTCTAGTCTGAAATCAATAAAAATATATTGGGGGGGAACAGAGGGGGAGGAATTCTCTTGTTCCTTCACTGTGAGCCCTTGGGGAGTCCTTGGCCAGCTTTCCTTCCTTTAAGAGCAGCCACATCAGAAGCAGGTGAAGCAGGCAGGTGAGGGCTGGCACTGTTCTGGGGCAGCAGGAGGACCAGGAGCTACCTGCAAGGTTGCCCTACATATCATGGTCTCGCTATTTTGATGTGTTGGGGCCACTCCATTCTTTTCTCCTATGTAAGTGTGTCAGGATGGCTGACGCTGGGGCCTCTGCCTCATTTGAATACAGAAGTACACTCTGGATCACTCAAAAAGAGGAAAAGGAACCCCCAGAAATCAACACACACATAGAATTCATTTGTGTTGAGTAACAAACTAATCAGAGATGCCCCAAGTTACAAAATTAAGAGTCCATACATATTCTCTCATATTCTCTCTCTCTCTCTCTCTCTCTCTCTCTCACACCATGCCATGTCCCAGCCCCCTCCTGACTTGCTCCAGCTGGGGCCTTGTGGAGCTGGCCCCTGAGTGACTTGAGATGATGCCAAAGTGCCTAGTGCCAGATATGGAAAAGTTGAGTCTAAATAAATAAATCTGGTTCTCTCCCTTTCTCCTCAGATCCTCTCTCTCCCAAAAGTAAACATGAACAGAGCATTGCACTGCGCCTCTGCCTGCCTGGGAAGCATTTTAGGCCCACCCGTTCAGCACCCCAACCCTGTGAAACTGCTCTGGCCCCGTGGATAGCAAACAACAGCGAGCTGTGGTCATGGGGTGCGTGTGTCTGTGGGGTGACACACGGGGACATTTGGGGAGATAGGACAGTGTTTGTACTTTTTAAATCTGTGGGGATGGGAGTTGTTTAAAAGTGTTCTCTAGGAATATTAACATTCATTAAGCCAGGAGGACTGCCATCTCCCCAGCCGGTCAGTGATGGGTCCCTTCCACAGCAGGGGCCCTCAGAGCATCCATACTTCCCTGCAACCACGTGGTTCCTTTCTTTCCACATGTCTAATTAGAATAAACATAACATTTCCTACGCAGTCTGCCTCGGGTGCTGCTTAAATGAAGCTGTGCTCCCCCCGGGGAAATACGCATCCTCTTGCTATAATTTTTCCAATAGTTAGTTTCTTGGACCACAAATTAAACCCACTTTTAAGAGCTGTAGTCACCAAATGGTTTCAAGGAAATACGTCTGTTTTCTTTCCCCTCCCCAGTTTTACATCTCTGAGAAAGGCAAGCCTATAAAAGTTAACAACAGAAAATAGAGATGATTCTTGGGGTACCCCAGGTAGAAAGAGCCGTGTGCTGTCAGATGCAAGGAAATGTGATCCTTCTAATGAACCCGCTGCAGCTGGAGCCCACATTGGGCCTGACGTCTGCAGGGTAAACAGCCCCCCCAGCCAAGGCCCCCTTCTGTTTGCCAAGTGTGGTTACCTTTGACCGCAAGGAAAGCTGGGGATCAAATTCTTCATCTGCCGAGGAGGAGGTGGTAGAAGAGGCAGCCCCTGTCACCTGCGCCCTGATGGGGACGTGCCTGGGACCTGAAAGGGGAACACAAGAACTCACTGAACTCCCAGCGTCTCCTCTTACTTCGTGACCCAAAGCTGCCTCTCCCCCCACGGATCTGGCATGCTTGTCAGAAGGAGAGATACCAGAGATTGATCTCTTTCTCTACATGTGCACAGATAATAAAGGCCATGTGAGGCTACAGCAAGGCAGCTGTCTACAAGCCAGGAAGAGAGTCCTCACCAGAAAGCCACCCTGAAGGCACCTTGAGCTTGGACTTCCAGCCTTGAGTACTGTGTGAGATGAATTTCTGTTGTTTAAGCCACCCACACTGGCTAATATAGTGGTCATTCTTTAGACACTAATGATGAAAATCTCAAAGATTAAAAAGGAAAGCAAATTAAGACTCTAAGGGCCATTGTAATTCTTCTCCTATCGCCACCTATTGCCTGGAGTGAAAATATAAGAAGGGGAAACTGCTGAGCTTGCCAGTCCTTATCATAAAGACATATCTTGTTCTCAGAAGGGAAAGTTGGTATGTTTCAGTGAAATCTGTTTTAGAAGCTGAGAGTGGACAGAAGAAGCCGATGGGAATTTTCCCTGTCCACCAGGTGACAGACAGGGCAGCTCTCAAGTCAGTGACCGTGAAGGGTAAAAGAGGTTGGACTAAATGATCTCCTTCTTGTAAGACACAACTTCCAGGACTACATGGCCAGATAAAGGGAATGAC